GCTCCGATGTAAAAGAAGTAACCCTGAGTGGATCTGATGCCGACACCAACATTTTATTTCTAATTTCTATTTATTTTGAAGAGAATTAAAGTAAATGTGTCACCAACATAGTTTAAACCTCTGCACAAACACATAAAACAACAGAAGCACAGAACTGGTCCTGATCCTGCTGCGAGTGATGCCTGCAGTTCACTACATGGCCACAGGGGTCACTGTGACAGAGGGCTGCAGGGAGCTGTGTGCCGCTGCTGGCACGCCCTCTCATTTTAGTGTTCAAGGAAAAAACAAACAAGAAAACTGTTTTGTTTTTTATTTCAAAACTGCAAACAGGAGCACGTTTCCCTCTGAACTCACTGAACTACAAATAAACACAAATAAATAAACCGTCCTCTGTCCTGATGCATTTTGTTCGTATGTAACAAAACAAACAAACACTTTAGTGTTCACATGAGTTTGTGATGCTAACAGACGATCCCTCAGCATGTTTGTGCTCATGTTGCCTTCATATTCAATCATTTCTGAAGAATTTATTTTAATATTGCACAACAAACAAATCATTTCCACGGCTGCGAGTTCGGCCTCCTGCGCTAAGCAAACATTACTTTGATAATTGGAATAAAAATGAACTTTCTGCCACGATAGAAAGAATCTGCTGTGCGAGGACCTGAGAAAACCTTTGTGTGGCAGCTACAGTTTCCATTGTTAGAGTCGAGATTCATTTATTGTCGCGTACACCACAAAACACAAAAGGGTTACGCAGAGAAATGAAAGTCTTACTTTGCAGCTTCCCTTCACACAACTAAAAAAGTCATGATGAGTAAAACTGCTTGAAGGTCTTATTTGTGAGTGTAATCAGAGTCTAACCCAGTGATAAAACACACAGCGTGTGCAATAATACGTGGATATTTAAAGATACGTGCAAATTTACACTTGTGCATAATTTGCAGGGAGCAAGAAGGTTGAGTTCAGCTCCTCCATCAGGTCTTTCTGTGTGGAGGTCACATGTTCTCCCTCCCACAGTCCACACACATGCAGTTAGTGGGGATAGGCTAAATCACACCGTCGGTGTGAATGTGTGAATGGTTGTCTGTGTGCCCCGCCTCCTGCCTTAAGACGGCTGGGATAGCCTCCAGCACACACCACAACCCTGGAAAGGTTACGCGGAAGCAAATGGACGGATAATTATAATAAACGCTTTTAGTAACGTTGTTAGTCCCCAAGCAACTGCAATGATCAGATACCTTGGGGGAGTTTTTTTGTTTTCAATGTCGTTTAATTTGCTGTGTTATTGTCGATTTTTCACGTGTTCGTACAGGATATTTTATTTGTTTTAATG